AACATTACAGTGCAACAGTGCCTACGACAGTGGTCACAACAAAAAGTACTAATTCAGACGACCAAGACCAACAGTCCTAATTCAGACGACCAAGACCAACAGTCCTAATCCAGAAAAATGGTAACAGACAGACAGACGGACGGAATGACAAACCAAGTACCGTAACCCTCGCTGCGCATGCGTGCCGAGGGTTAATTAGTGGCCTCATTCAAACCTTGTCTAAGGCACAAGACTCCAATACGGACTTGTAGTAGTGCGGTTCAAATGTCTTTCCAAAGAGAATGTTGTCTCTCAGAGATCCAGAGAAGACCCATGGTTCCTGGGAGCAGTAGGACACCTTGCCTCTCACCTCAACCGACCCCTCTACTGGGGAGAGCTCTCCAAGCAGACCTTGCAGCAGAGTTGACTATAAGGAGAGCAGATGATACTAACACCGTCGATATACAAGAAGTGAATCGACTTAGGCACACACACACACAGCATACTTCTCATGGACTAGCAAAGGCTCAGGACACAACTGTGCATACATTGGCCATTTTCTGTCCATTCCAGCTTCACAGCACAGAGTATAAAGTTTTAACCTTAACTCGGGCTTCCCACACTTCTTTTTTTTCAAGCCTATACACACACACACAGCCTCGGATACATTTTCTTTAATGTGTCTGTTTGATGCTCTGGTTGAGTTTGTACTACATACATACCTTTCCAGCTCCCACAGGGCCTACTATTGCCAGTAGAGGCTTCTCCTGAGGTAAAGCAAACATGTATCAAACAGTAAAAACTGTACACAAAGACTGACATGAGTGAGAGAGAAGAGACTCCACTGACAGTATTCTGGCCTCTTTCTCCGCTCCAGGAGAATGTCACACCGTCCAGTCTCACCAGAGGATGAGAGGGAGCAGGAGAGGAGGTGGCAGACATGATAGAGGAGAGGGTTTGGGAGGGAGATGAAGCCAGAGACTCAGATGTGTGGCTAGCAGTTGAGCATGAATCCAGCTCCTCCAACTCAAGAAACCTCTGAATATATACATGTATGATGCTTCTGCGTTTCACACGATTTAAAAGGGAGTGTGACGGTATAAAATTTTACTAAAGATCAATAAGGCCCAGTGAAAGAATGCAAATTTAGGACTTATGTAATACTGCCACTTTCCCTTTAAAAATGAAAAGCACTAAAGTACAAACCTTCGGCGAACTGCGCATGTGCGGTACATCTAATTGATGGGCTGGGCTATTAGTATGTGTTTACTCGTGGTATCCCGCTAGTAGCTTGCGGAGAGTCTGATACGGGCTAGCTACAGTAGTAGATAGCATACGGGAGTCGATACACGCCCTTCGTTGTGACTTCAAGATACGCAGAGCAAGGCGGACCAGGTCGAGATAAGCCTGTGTGCAGTGGGGGGTTGACCCATACTATATGCATGCACGTGGTAATATTGTATTGCTACCAGGTTCTGTTTATTTAGAATCACGTACAACATTACGGTATCGGTGGCAGCAACAGAAAAATCTGCCGTTGTGACGACTAGGTTGGCTCACTACCTCTCGCCAATTACAAAAATCCGCTCGAACGAACGACTAGGTTGCCACACTCCCGCTCGCCAAATATACCTGAATTCTCTTCACGGAAGTATTGGCATCAAAGAGGAAAGTGAGGGCTCGAATGGCGTAGTAGCAGGTGTTGTCTGCCACCAGTCTTGACATGGAGATGATGAAGACGGCCAGATAGAGGGAGAGCTGCCCTCCAGTCAACACTGTGAGAGCAACAATCACAAACACCACCAGCGGAGTTGCCGCAACATCAGTGAAGGCCAGTCCGGTTGCTCGCAGGACCATATACTTCAGTATCTGAGTGACTCCTTGTCTGCAGTGCAAGGCCATACGTAGGTGCTACTGAAAATTGCTTTCGTTTGCTCGCTAATGTTCTATGAATTTTGGAAATGTATAGGTACAATTGTGCGATGCGACCTTCTCGTCATATCCATACATTCCCACAACCGTACGGAGTGATCGGTTACCAGCGCACACTGTCGTCTTCGGTGATGGTTGTAGCACAGGTCAGAGTATACACGTACATTTAGCTATGACTAATATGTACACAAACTCACTTTCGAAGTCGAGTGACAACATCTCTGAATGCATACTCCCATGCATACATCTTTATCGCTCTGATACCAGTGATTACTTCATTCATTACACGGACCCTCTTGTCTGTTAGCTGTGCTGATTTAACCTAGACGCAGGAAGAATGGAATGAGAACTGTACATAGACACAGTGTCAACCTACCGCATCCTACCAAACCAGTGAGCCAGGAGAATCTGGAGTGGAACTTGAAGGACTACTAAGCCAGTGGCAGGGAAAGCTGGCCAGCCCACCTCCCGGTACACCAAGTAAGCAAAGACGACCAGATGCAGGGCACTGATCCACAGGAAATGGAGGAACGTGAATGCTAGCTCGAACCGCTGAACGTCGTTTGAGGCGAGGTTTACCACATGACCGGTGGAGATTCGTCCAAGAGTCACTTGACTCAACCTTAACACCTGCACATAGAGAGACATGTATATACACACATGAATACAGTGCACACTAGTGCATCATTCCATACCTTTTGTATATTCCTCTTACATTCTGAGTCCTTCAGTAGTTTGATACCACCCGCCCTGTACAGTGTATTCATTATGTATGCTTTGTTCCTACCATTGTGTGCCAGCTCACGCATGTAGAGATATTATGTATGTAGAACCTTGCGTGTGTGTGTTCTGGAATCAGTGGAGAGCTATTATTTTTGTCACGAAGCCCTTTACCCCTCTCTTCCCGAATTCTCTTTCTTTTTCTCCGTGGTAAAGGGTGAACTAATTAATCGTTTTGCATTATCTACGCAGGTACAATTTGTCAATCAAACCAACTGGCAGGATTCAGCACTATACACGAACACACGTGCAGGTGCACAACAAACACAGCCTCACCTTCTGGTAGATGGCAGAAGTGCAGGTCACGCGACATATCATGCCCAGCTTCATCCCAAGTAGGAACGCATGGGCATGGATCGATGATATAACAAACCCCATCAGCACAAGTCCTGAAACATCACGCAATCATTGCTATACAAAGAACATTGTCACATATACACACGTATGTACATACTTCACCTGTAGCCAAAAGGTAGGCACTAAAGGTGTCGTGAGGTGAAGGTTCATGCAAGAGTAAAGTAGTTGGCAAGATACCCAAGTGTTACAGCCTGGCCAATGAGGAGAGTGACCTGTTCAAAATGGGGATCAAAGGAAATGTACTGAAAATGGAACATTCTTGGACTGGGCCCTATTGTTCAGTTCTATCTTTAGTAACATTTCTAAATTATGTAATGACAAATCTCTTTAACTTTCCTCCACCCCTAAATATGTCACTGGATACACAAGAGCTCTTTTTGATAAGAAACAATCACCTCTGATAGTAAGAGGAAGCCATGTACGAGAAACCAAAACCAGATAGTCTTGAAGATCACCATCCACAGCCAGATTCTCCCACCTTCTTCTCTCTTGCCTTGTGCAGCCAACCAGTTCCTATATACGTCCAAATAATACAGCAGGGCTAAACTTTTCGTACTTTTACTAAGCAAGTGGGGGGATGGACAGCTTAACGAATCATCCTGAATACCTTGACTTTAACTGGAGTGTGCAGTGTCTTAGGTGGTATAATTATAGGCACATACAATATTCTCAAATGCCAGATGATTGCCACAACAAGGATTGTATCATCTACATACAAACGTCATTCAAAGTGTAAGTATGATCATTGTGACTTCTCTTATTGTGTAGGAGTCTGCAGGAGATGAGAGCAGACCGTCTGTTAACACATAAAGGCTACGATAGTCATTTGCACTGCACCCTTCAGCTATAGCAAATGCATTGCATTTGCCCAGGCTCTTTCATAAGTACGAAAAATAGGCCACCCTAACCTCCACCAACCTTACTTGCAACACACCCTTTAGTGATAGTAAAAGTATGCAAGAGATTGCATTTGCCTGTCCATTACCCCATACTCATATGAACAATTTAGGCCACATTTTTTGAACTGCACCTTGCAGCTAAAATATTCTGCCTTTATTCTTCACCCCACATATTTAGGCCACCCTATTGGTTTTTGCACTGCAATCTTCAGCTACATTAAAAGTACTCAGGATATTGTACATCACCCCACAAGTATGAAAAATTTAGGCAACATTATTTTTGTACAAATGTTTTTGCACTGCACCCCTCAGCTGAAGTAAAGGTACTCAGGATCTTGTGTTTGCCTATCCATCACCCCACAATCTTGTTAAAAGTACGAAAAGATGTAGGTTTTGACGTCAACTCTGATTACCGCAGCTTCTGTGAGCTGATAATCTTACAACAGGACTTCTATTACATTACGTATAATATACAGTTACGGATTACAGTACAAACCATCAACCAACAAATAAAATACATACTTGTTGAATTTTCTGAGCAGTGCCTCAGAATCAGTTTCCTGAGGATGAACATAGAGATCCTCTTGCCTCAGACTCTTCCTCCAGCCCTGCCAGAGCAGTGGGTCCAACCAGTTATTATACAAAGAAGTATATTAATACATGACTGCTAAGAAAATGTTTTTACACAGCAAGTAGATCAACCACTGAGTCTAGTCCAAGCCCCCGTGATGCCATGAGAAAAATGATACAGAACTCTTGAATGCAGCAGAAGATATAGCTACTCTAATGGCAACTTCTCGAACTCAACACTGCTTTAACACTAGGCATATGAACCAATCATCCCAGGAATATGTGTATGCCCCTCGCCACTCTAACTGGTCAGGAAGACTACAAGCCAAAACCCACCCTACAGCACAACATGCTGCCAGCTGATGTGATGTCGGAAGAAAAGGATACTGACTTTGAGCTTTAGCATATCTAGCATTCTTGGCAAGTTGAACCTACTACATCCCCTTCCTGTCTCAAGGCTCAGCAGGGATGAGTAGTACCAACAGCTCACGTGAAGAATAGGTGAGAGAGAATGTTCCAGCCAGCCTTGGTTCTAGGATCTCTGGGTCGGTGGCTCAAGTCAGCCACTGGGGGCTGACAGTTCCTATAGACTTCATCCTCCTCTGCTTCCGCTTCTGCTTCTCTCATATCTGCATTTCCGCAAAACGTCCCCGGCCCCGCCCACATATGCACGCACAATTTATCGTCGCCTTACGCATGCGCATAAACCACGCGCAAAAAGAGGATGCACTTTTTGCCTTTGCTACAGATGTAGGATCAAACGAAGAGGGTGAAAAAATAGCAGCAGTTGGAGAACAAACAGACAGTTTAAAGCCTGATGATCCCAGCTCTGAACTCTCCCTCCCTGCCTCTGACACCATAACCAATGGGGGGCTCCCCACTCCCAATGATACTGTGACTGTCACCACACAAAACATGAAGGGTCAACTGGTACAGCAGGGACAGGCATACAGAATGACCATCAACAAAGCCTACGGTTCACTGCCAGTTTAAGTTGCCAATGTCAATGGCATCAACAGCAACGAAAAACCTTTTCAAAGACCTTCCGCCAGCATTATCACGACTTCTCCTCTATTGTTTAAATCACTCTCTATCTGTCACTCTGTATGTAGCAGTGTACACTCTTTTGATTGTTTTGACTGCATGCCTTGGCTGACACAATGGGTGAAAACCTTTAACTGCTTTTGAGACCCTCCTGTAGTGGAATCACTATATTAACTGTATACCCAACAAACTGCAAGTCAGTTAGTGTATCGTACGGACAGTCTACGTAGTGGATGATATGCTACGATTGAAGCTGCCGGCATTGATTGCTGTAATTTCACTATTCCATCAAGGTAGGTCAGCAAATGTCTAGGACTTATATGTTGTAGTCCTTGTCTGCTTATGGATTTAGTATTTAGTTGTCTTATGTGTTTCATAATCAAAGCTCATTCTTGTTTGGAGAATGCTCTGCCACAAGAGGCCTGGGTGACTGATCATGACTTAGAGGAGTTTCGTGTCCGAGACAGATCAGATGAGAGGGTCGTCTTTCTGATGGCCCGTGACTTTGTCTTCAGTTGTAATGGAACTGTCCTAAGGTGGATAATTCGCTGGTTTTACAGGGATGCGTCCCCTAATTGTGCGACAATTACCTTCACCTTCTATGTGCTCCGTCAGTTAAGAGACTGTGGCATCACCACAATCGAAGGACAAAACGTGTTTCCGTTTACAGTAACTACGAACAGCGATCAGACAATTCTGAGTGTATTTGAAGTGAACCCCCAGCAAAGGATAAGTGTGCAAGAAGGGGACTTTGTAGCAGTCACTATGGAACTGTCAGAGTCAAACTGCCCTGACATACGTGCAAGGGTTGCAGGAGTAAGAGGGATCCCTAATAGAGTGTTCCACAGACTGTTTCCTGATTTAGCTGAGGCTCTTGTGCCTGGTCTCATATCACCGTGTTCTTCCTACATACAAGATGAGCTACTCATGCCATACATAACAGCAGTTTTTGGTGAGTAGCAATGAGTAGGTATAAACCATCACCATCCGTTTGCTTATTACAGATGCAGCCACAGAGATGCCTGAACCACAACCACAGTCAACATCAACAGAGAACCCGCAACCAACCACCACACTTGCGAATCTTGCCACTCCTTCTGACATAGCCACCAGTGTGACAGAGCATACTACTGTAGTTATAAACCCAGTTGTTCGGACTACTTTGCCTCTAAAACCAGATGCTCGTACTACTGTTGGTATAGAACCAGATGCTACTGATCCTTCTCCTACAGAACCAGCAACTCTACAGTCAGCTTCTCATGAAGCAAAGCTAAATGCTGCTACTAAAGTGACAACAACATTACCACACTATGTTGCTGCAACAACAGCTACGACAATGAGAGAGAGTTTCTCAGGCAGAGATTCCAGCTGCTGTGTTAATTCAACAGGCGTCAGTACTACCACAATGGATGGAAAATTCGACAATATACTTTTGCTCGTTGGAATAGGGGGAGGCTCCTGCGTATTGTTTCTACTAATCGCTATTCTAACTGCAACAGCATGCTGTCTGTTACGACGGCGGAAACACAGAGAGACAAATGGTAAGAGATAATGCTTTCACTTCGGTGCTGGGGTTAGTAGTAGCTACTAACTCAAGCAGAACCAGCAAAGTAATTTTATTTTAATTGCAGGGGACTCAGTGAAAAAGGAGGGGAAGAGCTGTGATTACGAGGGAGCGAGGACTGAGCCTCTGTATGACGACCCACATCAGTTCATCCAACATTTCCATGACTCGATGAAAGTCAATAGAGCATACGGCTCAGTTTCCCACCTAGCAGCTGAAGGTTCCAGATCTGATGTACAGAAAGCTCCCCAGCTAGTCTATGAGACTTCAATGCGAGCCGCCATTTCCCAGCCAGTAGAGGAGATGAGGGACTGTCAAATTCCCGCCTCTTTTAAAAAAGGGCACGGTTTTGTGATGTCTATCAACGGAGCTTATGGTTCATCCTCATTAAGAACATAATAAAACTTCATTGTATATACACGATAATAAGTGTGTTGTTAGCGTGTTTGTTGTGATTAATATCAGAGGTAGGTAGTGAAAATGGTGGAGGAGTTTCCACGATATGATGGGTTGGTCTGCGTGTGCGGTTGTTCTGACTGGACGTAGTCGTACTCTGGTATGGAGTCCTCCAGGGAGCCTGCCATGACAGACGGGTGACTCTCTGGGGTAGAAGTATATATACACTTACTTTTATTCACTTACTGAGTGCTATAGATTTAGTTATCCTAAAAGTTTTGGGGTAAGCAAGGTTTTACGGATAACTTTAGGGTAAAATTAACTCTTACTTCTTCCTTGGGTAGAGCATTCTAGGATGATAATCATTCTGACATTTCTTGAACATTCTAGAAAATCACTCTGACTTTCTCTTGTATGCCAAGTCTCATGCATACGCTGGCTTAAGACGTAAAGCTAGACTACAGAGGAAGGTCTCACGGGGTTCACTGGAAGCAGGAGGGGGGGCAGTGCTGGATCTCCTCCTGCAGAGGTGTATGGCGGCTCCCAGGAGACAGGTGCCTACCATGACGGCCGACACCACCAGAGACCCCAGTATCACCAACAGGAGAATATTCTCATAGTCTACCATCTGTTTCGAGGCCGGCTGGCTCCCGTCCTTCGTCACTCCTCCTGTTTTATCTATATCCGGTCGTAGAAAACAGTTCAAAGGAGAGAAACAACGTAGACAGACCCAAGCCTCTATGAGTTGAGTTTGATGATGTTTTAAGAGTTTGAGGCTAAATGGCTAAAATTATATCCCAGCGTTCCAGTGTCAGAATTCATCTGGGGAACAGGAAGGAGATGCCAGGGAGACCAGCTATATAAAATTTGAGGTGTGTCTGGCAGGTAATAAGGCAGACACCCCTTTCTCATGTACACATAATGTATGGCTCTGCCATAGATTGGATAATACGTAGTCTTTCTCACTGTTTGGTTGGAAACTGGTTGTTGGACATGGCGATACTTTCACACGGGAAGAAGGTTGTTGTTTCAGGATAGCTGTTCTTTCAGGAGCCTCTATTTCTCTGGGTGTCGTGAGGTAATCTCCATCTGGCAGCTTTGTGTGGCTTGCTGAGGCCTCTACCAGCTTTGGCGCTACCTGTGTTGGCTTTGTTCCATGGAACTCTGCTGGCTTTGTTGGGGTTATGGCTGCCGTGTATGGCTCAACAGATGTTCCCTTGCCTTCTCTGCTGCCACTCGAAACCATACTCCTTGGCCCATCTGTGTCATGTCCAGCTAAAAGACTAGCTTGGGCGGTGGTCATAGTTGGTTCTAAAGTATACGTAATAGAAAGTATACATAACAAACCAAGAGGTAGGCGTAGTTTTGTTCTCACCAACTGATGCTGAGATGAACCCCAGTGCATTTCCTAACTGAGTGAATGGCCCTCTTTCACTTTCGCAGTGAAGGCTGGGAGATATAAATTCCCCATCCCTTCTAAGGAGCACAGTATTGGGGCTAACCTTCCCTCTCAGCCAAGCTTCGGTAAAACCACTACACCTTCTACCGATGCTAATCTGTAGGCCGATATAGTCTCCTTCCTGGACATTAATCCTGTCCACATTTTCTAGAACTGCAGGTCTTCGAGAGACAATGGAGGATTCAGAGTACAAGCGTATCGTTTCCACATGTGACCCAACAACAGTTGTACCGCAGGGAGCACTACTATGGACAGGTGGTCTCAGAACATAGAGAGTGAAATCCACCTCGCATCCTGGAACTCCGTGGTTTATTCTCCACCAGAAGTACCATGTCGTGAGCTGCCCGGTGCAGGTGAAGGTATAGTTATGCATGAGGATGAGCATGTGTGTGTTTCCAGTCCTTCTAGCGAGAACCCAGTCAGGTACTACTGGATCGTCAAACCAGGCATCATCGAGATAAGAGGGAGCATTTTCCACACAGGCTGTTCCTGTATAAAAAAAATATGGTTACGCAACTAAATATGATGATCAAATTAACAGATCGAGAGAAATATAGGAGTTTTAGCTATGTGAGCAGCCACTGGATTTAACGTTACTGTGCATCGTAAGTTTATTCTAAATGAAAGCAGCTGAATCTGTTTCTCGGCCTGTGTATATACTGTAAAACTAGTTGTAGAATGTGCTTTCTACACCACATGACACGAATAGTGATGTACTTATAGCAATCACCAACACGGTAATGCTAAAAGCATGTGTATAATAGGGTAGCTATCACTAGTTTTTAAAAAGTTCTGCCTGCTGCAGTATATAGCTACTAACCTTCCTTCAAGAAGAGAGCGGAGACAGAGATAAGTAGAAGAGGTAGATACATGACCTACGTAGGCCACAGTTTTTTCTCCCGAGCGAGCTTCAATGGTGAGAGGATGCAAAACATTGCACCTTTTATGCCAGTGGAAAGTGTTTGGGTTTGCCACACTGTACTGGACCAGTCACAACAACAAACAAACAAGCACAAAGACTTCTTTTCCTCTTCGGTTTTTATGCCCGTGTCCTCCCTCTTTGGAGGACAAAGTACATGATTTGAAAGTCATAAGCACAGTGTGCACTAAAGATTTCAATCCAAATCCACTTGCATGTAACTTTGGTCTGCTGCCAGTGCAGTGGTCTTTTCGCCGAAGAGATCGAGCGAGCGCGTGCGCGGAAAGTCACGTGCGCAGCTACGCCCAACTCTTATTGCCGAGCGCGTTAGCGCTAGCGTGAGGCAACTACTCCGCGGGTTTACGTACGTACGGACGTACGTACGTCGTAATTAGTCACGCTTAGGAATGTAAATTAGTCACAAAAAGGAAGTGTAACTTCCGTCATTCGTAGGAAGTCTAGCTTCCGCCGTGCGCGCAGATTCGTAGAGGCCAGGAAGTCTGGCTTCGCGCGCAGAGTATAGTAGAGAGCGCGCGCACGAGCGGCCTCAGTCTATGGGGTGGTATTCGTGTCAGTATTCAAACGTCGATTTTGCGAGGCCAAAACGGAGCTCATCAACCGCGCAAATGCTACTCGGCAAAATCGACGTGTGCGTTTGTTTGAATACTGACACGAATGCCCACCCGTTCATGCGCCAATATCAGATCGTAGACTGTTTACTACGCATTGGCTAGGCTGCTGGCGTGCAGTCGGCTGCGAGGAGAGAAATATCGGGCGTGCGACATAATATATACGGCTGCGCGATTGCAGAAGGCGTGGATTGCTCCGTGAGTGCTATAAGTAGATTGTCTCAGTGATTACAGAATCTTGTCGCGAGTCTACTTATTAATCCTCACAAGACAAACAGAGGGCCCGCTCAACAAAACATACATCACACGGGCGTTCGTGGCTTCATGACTCTGCTTCCTGAGTGTGAGCTGGTATGGAGAAAGAGACATTGTCGTCGTCTACACGTCACATGCAGAGCGCGCAGTGTCCGACTGCCGCTTCCTGACAGACAACACTGCCGAGGTTTAACCCACAACTAGCAGCACTTTGTCCCCATACAGCGTTCAGATCCGAGCGTCCTGCCTCTCCACGTGTAATGTCGCCCTAATGACCTCATACAGATATCCTATCATTGCCCTCGGATACCCAAGTCATTTTTTTGTCCAGGCTGGCATGTCATTACCTTGATCTAGCTACGCACTCTAGGAGAAAGGACTTTTTCAGAAATGTTCCAGGCTGGTATGGTTGAGATTATAAAACCTCTGCCTCTAATGGAACGGAAAGGAGGTGGAATGGAATAGATAGCCTGCTGTGGTTATGTCAGTGGAGTGGTGACCTACTACTCTGGATGAACGTGGTGTCTTCAAAAAACATTGACTGTGGTATCACATAATTTCCCCAGCAATGCACATGATCAGTAGCGCACCAAGTCGGACAGAAGTGAATTGTCAGACGGCTGTTTCAGTAAGGAACGTGCCAGAACAATCCTAAAGCTGGCGCAGGGGGGTTGCAGTGTATGCCATTTGTGCCTCTTTCGGATGCAACAAAGACGTGGTGAGCGAAAACAGCAGCTACACAGTTTTGGCATAGATTTTGGTGGAGTGGAGACTACGGCTTCAGTATCGTGTTTTGTAGAGTGTGGCTACAACCTTAACATACGTTACCGAACTCCCCTACAAAGGAAAATTAGGCTACAGACTACCTAAGACCCTGTAGTATGTATGGCCCTGCCTTCTAAACTAAACACTCCACCCATAACCTGAGAGGTTCTGCGTCTCTACAAGCACCTTGAGTGTGGACCAGATATACATGGTGCGACCAGAACGACAGCACCACTTGTGCAGGACGGTGCAAATCCCCACTCTGAACACACTGATGGGTCCCGTTACAAAAGAGGCACCTGCACCCCGCGCGGAGGGGATTTGTTCAAGCGTTCTCTTTCTGCGCCCACAAGTGGGGCTACTACCATCCACCCACACAGCAAACACTGATCTTTACCTCACCCACCAGAGACTTGGCCTAACTGAAACAACATGGCACACCAACTACCTACCAGCGCGTATCCAGCGGGACACCTACGAGTATGCCTTGTATCGTCGATTATCAGACGGACCATTTAATTCCAAGTGGTTCCGATAGACCAGAAGAAGTTGGATTACTACATCGAGCGTCTCGCAGTTATCTTTAACTAGTACTTGTCACTCAGATTTCGAATGTGGTTGGGGCGTGTTTTGTTTGGTGTTGTATTTCAAGTGGATTTTGAGTACTTCCAGAGTTGTGGATCGGATCTGGAGGCAACGACCTCCCTAGTCCTCATGGGAACAATCACAATCACAACGCTATTTTGTCCAAACCAATGGTGCGTGATAGAATTTGAATATTACCACTGTGAGAAGAGAGATAAAATATCTCTTACCAAACATCAAGCTACACGGTAGCACCCCTCCGAGCCAGGAAGCCACCTGGCAGTCGCCGGGGTTATTCAACACACCCCTCCGGAAACTTAGAACGGGGTATAAATGAGCACCACACAATGCCTTTGACATAGCCTTATGTGGCCC